CGCATTTTAAGCTCAGTGTACGCAGCAATGTCGGCCTCGTTTAAAACCTTTGCTGCTTATGAGTAATGTGTTTACTTTTTTTATGAATGTCAAAAACGTTACGGAAAAAGAAACGATTGAATGACCGATCTTGTCGTCTTTGTTTCTGCGTAAACGGCTTAACTCCTACCTTGGTGCCCAAATCCTGTTTATCAAACACCGTGCTGATACAGTTTGTAGCAATGATGTTTTCATGATTTTCCTTGGTGTCAGTGGATAATAACGAGTCTAATTTTTCGTCCATCGGTCTGGGCTTGTTTATTTCTGATTTGGTAAAGTAAAAAAGCGGAAAAAATATCTTCGCTTTTTCAAGGGATCGCCTCCGACTACTTGGTTGGTAGTGCGATGTTCTCCCTCAGCGCTAACTCAACAAGGAGCAGCGCGGCCTGTTCTTTCCTTCTTAACTCCCGTTCTTCCCTTCTGTGGGAAGCGCGTCCACAACAAGGACGAACATTCGCTGTTTCAAATTTTTCCTCCCTTTTTTTCTTAGAGTGTACCCCTAGAGACCGCCAACGGCCTACGAAGATAGGAAGCCCGTGGCGACGTTCATCAGGGAACTCCGGGAGTACCAAGCTCCGTCGGCAATTGATGGTGAAACAGTGCGCAGTTTTCTTTGCCGGCAACATTGACTCTGGAGAAAGGAACAGACAAATTTCTCAAGTCTGGCGGATATTGTTTCGCGATTCGAGCGGAGTTCCTACCACCGGATTACGACATCCGAATGCGGGACTAGCTCCGAGCGCGCAAACAGCGCCCGCAGGAGTCGCTCGGAGGATTTGTAAGGGCCTTCCGGGTGCTGTATGACCTAGTTGACGCGACGGCCTCACGTGCACAAAAAGTAGCACCGGCTACCCGTCAGAGCCACCCACGCTTCCACCCACATCGCAGGGGGCAGGGGGCGTATTGTCAGGAATTTGGACCAAGAAACGGGCTGTAACAACGATTCAATCGGACACCGATGCTGAACTCCTGTACCGACGTTCTTCCCCAAGAGGCGCAGCACTTGAACCAACCTTTGCTTCATCTGGACACCCAAAGGAGTACAAAGGTCGCAGTGAGTCCTATGAATCAATTGAAGATACCGCTCTCCGAACCCGATATGCTCGCATACCAATCTCGAAAATGTTGTCTGCACGAGCGCGCAGATGGAAAATGATGTAGCGACAAATCGATCTTTCTACCCGCAGAAAGTACTGAGGCCAGACGTAACGCATTAGGACAGAAATTCACATCCTCCTTCCCACACGAGCAGAAGGAATGATAGAAACCAAACATGGCTTCACTATTCCCAGTGCGGACAACCGGGATGGTCCTGTTGGGAATACAGCGAGAATCCCCAAACCAGAAGCCGCGGTGGTGAAGGTGTTCTATCTGCCGGAGAACGTGGAAAATGTAGCCCTGAAGATCCAGCCCTCGCAGCCGCCTTCGGGCCACCAGAAAAAAGGTACGGCTAGCACAACAAGAATCTGGGAAGGCCGCTAATTACGCTCTACCTCATGAGATACTCCGAGCATCTATCGTTGAGGCAAAGGGCGGGATTCTCGTTGAGGCAAGCATTTTTTTATGCATTTTCACGGTTAGGAACAACCTGGCGAGCCTGCCTCTGCCCTGATTCATGGGTGGCACGTTCAAATCATTCTTCCTCATGAGACATATGGTTTTCCCGCCTCGGCACTGAACGTCGAAGGAAAAGGTCGTATCACTTTCGCTCATCAGATGCCCGAAATCGCCACTTTGGTGTTAGCTGCGGAAGACCCGAGCTAGACCTAGGCTGTTGGACAGCTTCAGCGTTGAAGGATATCGGGCCTTATCAAATGATTCTTGATCATCAGATACCCGGGATAGCCAATTCAGCCGTGAGCTTTGGGAGGCCCAAACGAGAAATAGCACGTTGCACCGCTGCGGCGTTGAATAACGGCGCTCCTCATTAAATCACTCGCCTTCATCAGATACCCGCGATATGGCCGCCTCGGCTACCGAGGATCATGGCCGCAAGTACCCATGATCTCTTGTTGAGACTTTGTTTCAGTGGAACAACTTACATTAGATTTTGCTCAAGATGCGTATCGGTTGGGAATGTAAACTAAGCTAACGTTATTACCAGAACAGATAAATAGTATTTCCGATTGCGGGAATCGTTTGACTTTGCGAGGCTGGGTTATTTTCTCCCAGGCAGTCAGTTTCAACAAAGCTCCAACAAGTGTTCCGGTAGCACACTTGTTGGAGCCATTCTCGCCGATGCTCACGTAAAGAACTGGGAAAACCGATCACATACACCACCAGATACTAACCGAATCTCCCCCCTCCCTCTCCTTGGGTGGTGAAATGCGAGACCCCCACGTACCCACAAGCGGGAACTTCTTGATTCGGCGCACGCAGAAATGATTTCCACCGGCGCAGTACGTGAGATAGAAAGCCCAGGTGCTTCGTCAGTGGTCTTCACTTTAAAGAATGATGGCACAGCAAGACTTTGTATCGATTACTGGAACCTAAACGTTGTGTCAACCAGGGACAATTTCCCATTCCCCATCAGTTCCTTAGTGATGTATGCCCTTGGTGTTGCGACTGTTTTCACAACTCGACTGCAGCCGTAGATTCCTTCAAATTGAAGTCCATCCAGCGGACGTACAGATTACTGAAATCATTTGTCACAGGGGTTTGTTTTCCTTCCCTTTGGTTTGTACAAGTCTCCCGTCAGCTTTCAGCGCCTCATGGACGTTGACCTGGGTAACGCGAAGCATGAGTTTGCGATGGCGAACAGCGCGTAGGTTTGTTTTCCCGAATGTTCGAGGATCATCTCGATCACCTTCGCATTATGATCGAACGAATGCGACAGGCGGGCGCGTAACGAGTCATCGAGTTAAAGTTCAGTTTACCTCGCCTATAATCAACCGTCTTGGTAGGGTTGTCGATAGCGGCACGTTGTGCCCGAACGAGAATAAGTTACGCCCAATGACGAAGTACCCCCCCCCCCCCCTCCCCTTCCCGACGTCAAGGGAATACAGACATATTTCGGGATGATTACTTTCGACGGGCAATTTATTTCGCATACGCCGAGATAACGGAGCCTCTGAGAGCTAATTGCTTCAGGAAAGGGTTAAGTGGTGCTGTAGACAAAGCAACAACCCGGATTTGCTTGTCTCTGTAGGATTAATTGTGACAAAAAACGCGTATCTAAATTACCCGAGTTGTACCATTCGTTTAAATTGCAGACATGCGCATGCGACTACGAACTGGGAGCGGTTCTTCCGCGGGAACATGCCAGCATTATTTGTCCTGTCTCCTTTGCAACTCACATCCTCACCACAGCACAGCAGAATTATTCAACGACCGAAAAAGAATGCTTGGCGAGAATGTTTATACTTTATCAGTTTGACACGCACCTTGACAAGGCTTCGTAGCGTTTTGCACATGGCTTTCTTCTGGTGAAAACAGCTCCAAAACTATAACAGGCGTCTCGCTCAATGCGCTTTTACTCTGCATCTTTACATGTACACAGTTGTGTGCAAGCGTGATATGACTAACCATGTGGCAGATCCGTTGTCCTGTGCCCCGCTTCTCGGACAGAAAATGCAGGTGGATCGCTTCTTGGTGGCACTTGGTCACACCAGATTCACGGTGGAAAACTCTTTTGGGCATTGATGAACATGGAACGCCCAACAGTATCATGGACTTTGTCAGAAGGTGGCACAACGACTGAGAGAGGAAAGTACGTCCTACACCGCGAGGCCAAGAGACTTGACTCACTTCCTGAGCAGCGACGCATCCTGCTGCGGAACATCTCCCAGGCGGACAAGTCATGCGGCTCGCCATTCCGAACACCAACACCACGAAAACTAACAAACATCTTCATGAGATAAACCTATGCATGATTCCGCAGTTGCTGACATACCGCAGCAGTTAAAGCAAAATTTACGACCAGTCATCTTAAATTGCAACGTGGTCCGGCATGAGGCAGTATGTAAATACGTACGCACGTTGCTGTACAGTATCTCACAAGTACAAACCACGAGGTGGCCAACTATCAGGTTTAATGCAGTCGGTTGATGGCAAGTAAAGCTTGGAGTGTGTTTCATGTGACGTTGGTGGTTCATTTGCCGTTAATCCACGAGGAAAACAATATTTGATTGTACTGACGACCACTTCACAAGTGGGCCAAATGGTTTCCTTGCGCAAGCATGAGACTGGGAAAATTTGGAACTGTCTTCTTCAGGCGCTCGCGCGCTTTGACTTTACGGCAACGAAGTAAAAAGGGAAAACGTGCCGAAGTTGTGTTCGCGCTAACAGTTCCGCGCAGTTTACATTTTATTGTTAAAGACGTTTCTTTGAACTCGGCCCCTTTAGAACGGAATTCCGATATAACCAATTCATTTATTGAAAGTGAGCATTAACTGAATATTAATATAATGCATTCGGTTATATGTTCGACCAAGAAAATAATTGACACAATGTTTCTCCCAGGGTTTATTTTAGGCATCCAGGTCAGCTCTGATTGACCGAGTTCCCCAGCTTGAAAGCCGGAAATAATGAACCAAATGCATACTTCACTAAGGAGAATCAACACAGCCATACATAAGATGTAAAAATAAGTGAATGAGATTACGATGCTGTCTGTTCAACTGTGGGACTCTTGCGATATAATGACATCTGCATCCCGTGTTTTTTGCTTTCGTGGAACTCCTTAAACCACTATTTAAGAGACTGCTACTCTCGTTCTAAAGCTCACGTATTTTATAGACGCTCATATTGTGTGAAACGAGAATTTAAAATATCAAACTTTATATTAAAGCCGTTTTAAGTAGTCGATAAATAGTAAGTATCACCTGCTGGCGATGCTGTACTGCAAAAAGGAACGTGCAAAAAGTGAAGAACAAAAATATGCAAATACATAGAAAACACATACTTGTGCTTTGGCTAAAATCAAGAAGCGCCTATCAAAAATACAGAGCAATGTTGCTTACCAGCCTAATAGCGTGAGAGGCGTGGTCTATATTACCAACAGCTGTCTGAAAATCAGCCTTGACCAAGCTGGGTTTTAGCAGAAGACAGAGGAAGGCGGCTTGCAATGTCCATGCCATCTGGTCAACCTAGGGACAAAATTGTGTGTAATAAGAATATATTGTTATTGAATAAATATAAACATCTAGTTATATAAAAGTAAGAATTTTCAACAAAAAAATGCTAGGGTTCAATCAAGCTGGTGAATGCTTAACATAATTTAAAACAAAACTTCGAGACTGGGGAAAAGGCGAAGGACTGAGGGCTGCTCGAAACACCCGTCAAGTCTTCAGCTTCCCACACTGCTGTCAGCAAAAAGAAGAAATCTTAGCACTACATAAAAACCCTCAATAAAACAATAATTTTATTTTTTAATTTAGAATTATTTTGTGAAGAATGTGAAAGAAAGTAATTCCCGGTTATCAAAATGCTCCAGTAAACATCAAATGCTGGAAAAGCAAAAACAAACCACGGTCGAGCTATAAATTAATTCCCTTGTTCCAGCAGGTTTCACAAATATTTCGCCCGAGAAGTCAGCAATTCCCTGTGGTGCACAAAGGAAACACTTAAAATCACAAAGAAAAAAAAAAAAAAAAAAAAGAAGAAAAGACATGCATTGCCACGCGCGTTGCCGAGCGAGCGCGTGCGTGGTTGAGTGGTTAGCGTGCTTGACTGTCGTGCGAAGGATGTGGGTTCGATTTTAATGTGCGGAATCTTTTTTTTTTTTAATTCGAAAGTAATTTGTAATTTGAGTAGAAGTTACTTTCAAAAAGTAATTAACGGGAACTACTAATTACCGAAATAAAAAAGTAATTCAAAGTTACTAAACTACTCAGAAATAGCTAAACTACAGTAACTTAAGTAGAGTAGTTGAACTACGTACGCGTCTGGGCAAGACAGCGGACCAGACTTTCGAGAGCGCTGCTGCTTAAGGTCACAAAAAGGTGACTGGAGGCGACTATAAACGCTTCCTTAACACTTGTGATCTTTGTCTTACCTTAGGATAGTAACGTAAAAAGTAAGCCGGGGAAGTAACGGAGTACTTTTTGTGGTTTCTGTTAATTACTTTTATGGAAGGGTAACTGTAACTGTAATTAGTTACAGTTTAGCCCTGTTTTATTGTAAATATAATTCCTTACTTTTTTTAGTAACGTGTACAAGTCTACCGAATTCGGGTGCTCACGCAGTTCTCGTGTCCAATCCATGAGCCGCGCTCAACTGTCGATAGGCGCGAGGTTTCGAACTCACAATTACGTCATCGAGCTTTGAGAAGGCAAGAATAAACAAAGAGTCCACTTTTATCCTGGTAATTTAACCTCGACGAAGAAGCTTCTGGATCATTGGCGGTGTGTGAGAGTGGCACATACCACCACTCATTCAATAACCAACATTTGCAACCAATATTCGTGCAACCAACATTTGCACAGAGAATATTAGCTGCAGGTTCGTGGTTTCCGCTGGACGTGCTACTGTTAGTGTGCATGCGTCCGTGTGATGTACTATGGGGGAAAAATGAAATGCGAACACAGGAGCGCGTGGCTCGCGGTACAGGCTGCGCCGCCTGGAATTGAGCCTAGGGGCGAGGGTGCGTGGCCTACTTCGATGTGTTCACGCCCCTCGATTGGCGCTCCCCCAGCTTCGGCAGTGCGCCTCTCACTGCGCTGAAAGCTGTCACCACTATCTTTGCGTGCTCGGCGAGTGCGGCGAGCTTCTTTTCACCGCACACGCTGAGCCAGCAAAGATAGCGGTGATAGCTTTCAGCGCAGACCCACTGAATTGTCGGCGGGTGTATTTGTCTATTGATAACATCTCGGTTCCTTCTCTTAATGGTAGCGGGTCGTTTTTCAAGTAATCCGGAGAGGACCATATGTTCTCTCCCTAGAGCTTGAGGAATTTCGTGCCTTGTTTCTTCACCATGAGGCCCGATAAACACCAATTTCTCGTGCGACATCGAAAATTGACACCGAAATACACAAAATCTCCACTGCATTCGAAGAAATAAAAACTCCGAAAGCATTAAACTCTATTAATGACGTGAAGAAAGGTTCACACAGCACCCTTCCTTTACGTTACGTGGCATTACGGGTGCTCACAACTGCTTACGCCGAGGGTCACCGGAACGCATGTGCTTCACAATAAGCGCGGCAAGGTAGTTCAAGAACAAGCCCTGAACGCGAAATTGGAGGCATTTCTGGAGGATATCTTGGTGACGTTATAGCCTACTCTAAGAAAACCAAAGCAAACTTTCCTGTATGAACGAGCCTCAAATTAAGAAACCGTAAGCGTGCGTTCCTGTGTGAATCGGCCATGCCTTCCAGTTACACAGGCCAATGTAAGTGCGTACAGGCAGATGTGCATTCCGTCTCGACGTCAGTTTAGCTACATGTTTGAAAGAAGAAACGTCTCTGCGCCAGACTCGTGTCGATGTAAAGGTAAAACTGGGGCAAGGGCGGCAAAGGCTGGGAGTTTTCTATTGTGTGTTATCGATTTGCTGCAGATTTAACTTGAATAAAGGCCAATGTCTGGGACGTACGAGGAGAATTTGACAAGAGGAGAATGAAATATAACGTTTTTACCCGGACATTTATTTCTGACTTGCTAGTGGCCATGAACTTTCAAGCTCTGGTCACATTGCATTTCCCAGATGCCTCATTGTACAGCATGCTTGAGTAAACTATCTTTATTTCATTCAGGTACTTGAGTTTTGTTAATTAATTATACGCACGGACAGACTTCTACGTAATCCGTTACAAGTAACGAAATTGCTTTTAATCCCTTATATTTATCAGTAATTTCGTAAGGGAATAATTATATGTTTAAGAAAGTAATTGTAAAGTAGTTTAGTTACTTGGTTTACGTAAGGGAATGGTTGTAATTCGTTACAATTTTGTTTTCATCAGCGGGGAAAGAATGTGGGAACTTCAGATATTAAACAAAAACCTTAAAAAAATGTTCCCAGTAATATAAGGTTTACGGGAATCACGCTGTCGCCTGCATTTACAAAATGCAAGGCCTGGAATTCTTAGATGCTCAAAACCTTCCTTCGAGCCACCTAAAACCTGGACTCAAATATAGGTATATATTTGTTTCTTCTTTTTTTGTTTTGTTTGGTTGTTCGCAAATCGTAACTCGCCAGCTTGCTCGCCCACAACGAAGTGGGAAGTAAACTGACACAAAGAATCGGACTCTCCATGCAAGCAATGTTAGGCAAACTCCCGAGTTCAAAGTGTTTCTTTCAACAAAAACAAGAGCAAAGAAAACGTGAATGTGCACGCCAGCTGGTGTAGCGGATCTGTGCGCGTCTTTTCTTTTTGTCTCACTCTTTCTTTGCTTCCTCTTGGCCGAGAGAGAGGGGGAGACAGATAGATGACCTCTTTGTATCAAAAGAAATGTTCGTCGTCCCTTGTCCCCGGCTTCTTCTACTCTTTCTGTTGCCAGTGAAGGTAATCAACACTGGGAAGAAAAGCGAAGATTGGTGGAGCCGTAGTTAGGACACAGCTTCGCAATGGATTAACAGGATCTAGCTGATGTTGTGGGTGTCGAGCGGGAAGGGGAGGTATTGCGAACGCGTTGTTTTCTAACCACTCAGCCGCTCGTCCAGGTGGCAGCACCCATTCGGAAAAAAGTGGAGTGAAAAGGTGTTTAGTGCAGGGGACATCTTCACATAGAAAAGAGGCAAGATGTCTGATGGGACTTCTTGAAAGCTAGATGTTGCTCAAGGTCACAAAAGTTTGAGTTGCCGCAACAATAAACGTTTCCATAACACTTATGTCTTGCTTATTACCCTTGGACAGTAAGGTTGAAAGTAATGCTTTGAAAGTAACGGATTACTTTTTCAAGTAACGGTCACTTACTTCTATGGAAGTGTAATTGTAACGGTAATTAGTTACATTTGACCATGGGTAATTGCAAATGTATTTTGTTACTCTTTTAGCAGTGTGTACAAATCTGGGCACGAGTAAGTTTCCTGACTATTCGGGAACACAGCCATGTCTTAGAGTGCAGCTCTTGGGCGCCACTTTCCGGCTTCGGCGGCGTCGCCGTCGCCGTCGGCATAACCGTAACGCGTCAGCATAACGCTTTTTCGTGACGCCTCGGCGTAGCCGTCGTCGTCGGCGTAACGCTTTTTCGTGACGCGTCGACGTCTCCATCGCCGTCGGCGTAGCCGTAACGCGTGGCGTAACGCTTTCTCGTGACGCGTCGGCGTCGCCGTCACCGTCGGCTTAACCGTAACGTGTCGGCGTCGCCATTGGCGTCGTTGTAACGCGTCGGCGTAACACGTCGGCGTGACGCGCCGCCGTCGGCGTAACCGCACTCGTGCATTATGGAAAACGTGCGATAATGCACCGCGGTGACCCGCGTTGCATTATGGGACGTTTCTCATAATGTACCGCGTGGGAGGGTGGAGGGGGAGGAAGGAGGAGGAGGAGAAGATAAGTGCGGGAGGATGCGAGGCGCAGGGGAGAAGTAGATGAGGAGGGAACAGGAGAGGCATACCGTTCCCTCCGTACCCTCCCATTCTCCTCCTCAGGAGCTTCGCTCTAATTCGGCTTTACAGGGAGTTGTAAACGTCTTTCATGTTTTTTTTTCAGCGAAAATTACGGCAATCAATTTCGGGGTAGCATATCAAAAATAAGCACCGGTAATGAGAAGCTATTGCGAACATGAAGGTGATGATCAAAGCAATACTCACAGAACCTAAACGGATCAGGGTGACAATCGCTGCAGTACGACCGTGTACGCGGTCAAGCGGACAAGTCCACGCACACGACATCCTAAATAATCGGGAGTTCTTGACAATTGCAACAGCGGATTTATGCAACAAAAACAACAAAATAAACACCAGAAGCAACACCGTGGAGCCACGAGACCAAGGAACAAAGAGACCTGCGTAGTGCTTACGCATTTAACGCTGGAATTTGAGTAGAGGCAGGGCAACGTCCTCGAGAACATCGTGCCTTGCATACAGTCAGATAATTTCAATGCCTTCGGCATGGAAAATTCACGCCATCAAACTAGAGGTGAGTCAAGCTCTAACTCAAATCTCCATTGTACTCTTTAAAGGGATACTACAACGAAA